GCCCTCAGTAACCATAACCACTGCCGCCCTCAGTAACCATAACCACTGCGGCTCCCAGTAACCATAACCACTGCGGCCCCCAGTAACCATAACCACTGCCGCCCTCAGTAACCATAACCACTGCGGCTCCCAGTAACCATAACCACTGCGGCTCACAGTAACCATAACCACTGCCGCCCCCAGTAACCATAACCACTGCCGCCCCCAGTAACCATAACCACTGCCGCCCTCAGTAACCATAACCACTGCGGCCCTCAGTAACCATAACCACTGCGGCTCCCAGTAACCATAACCACTGCGGCTCCCAGTAACCATAACCACTGCCGCTCCCAGTAACCGTAACCACTGCCGCCCCAGTAACCATAACCACTTTTGCCCTCAGTAACCATAACCGTAAACAGTCATAAAATGATTCACGCCATCTCAGATTGACTCATTAATATTTTCTGTGTATCCAGTGCCTTTTGTTCCTTATTTGTTTAGCTTCTTTATATCTTTATAAATATTTATCTTTCCTGACCTACATCATATATCTGGGACCCATTCATACTAAATGATATTAATAACCAGGAAATATTTGATTAGACCAGTTATGACACCTGCGTCATCATTTGCATCCTGGATTTACATTTGTTTTCAAAGCAAATACTTCTTCTTCATACATCAATCATTCTCATGTTTCTAATAAAACAATGAATCACAGAACGTTTTAATCAAACTGCAAAATGCATGGAAGCCACAGCGGTCTTGATGGAGAAATAGACGAGTTTTTTGAATATCTCTGAGGGAGATTAATAACTAGACGTACTTTAGTGTAAGATCCCTCGTAGCGGGAGGAATGGACCAATAGATGCATCAGAAAGCGTTCGGGGCAGAATCATAATTGGTTATTATTTTTTAAATATCTGCTGTAATCAGATTAACATTTGCTTTGGAGAAAAGACAAAATCCTTATTTCCATTAAATGAGGATAATGAAAAAAAAACAGTCGAAAAAGGAAATTGTTCTGCAAATCGAGAATCCAAACAACAGGAAACAGATGCTTTGCAGGCCTCGGAGTTTGGCACAAAGCATCAAAGGTGACCAGATGGTTTGAAGAAAATGCCACAAAACTCTGTCTCTTGTGCTCTGATTAACAAAGGTCTCCGCTGGGCTTTTTACTGGGTCTGAGGTTAGGGGTTTGCATGGTGCTCCTGCGATGGTTGTATTGTCTCAGACCCTGGATATCATAGCAGACTGACGGTGACCGCATTGCAAAATATGTCAGGGTAAGGATTTGTAGATAATACAAATTAATAAATTCATAGACTACCTCTTTACCTGGCCGGGCCGGACGCCCACCGCACATTACTTCAATGCCTGGCACGCATGGCCATTGCAATGACCACCAGATAATCGTTAGTAGAATAAAAGTGTGATATCTGTAAAGGATAGATCTTATCTCACTAACAGTAAAGAAATTATATATTTGATGCGTTCGGACACAATAAGTATTCGATCTGGCGGATCAAGCTGAAGCTCTGGGTGTGGGTGGATCCCCTCTCGTTGATATAAATGTACGGAAGACTGGATTCTGGTCACTGGTTCTTCTGGATCACAGCCCATGTTTAAACCGTTGCTAAGAGCAGTGGTGTATTTTGGATTTGTGCTGCCCTAGGCACGACTAAATTCGGGCACCCCCAAAATCTAAATTTGCCCCTTCAATTCATGTCAAGGCCACTTTTTTCACTGACATTGATACATGCACTGATATACACTCACTGACAGATACACAGTCATTGGCACACACCCTGTTTAACCAACACACACTTTCACTGATACACCCACTCACTGACAGACACACTCTCAGATACACATAAAATGACTGACACACACTCACAGGCACACCCATCCTCACTGACAGACACGCACACTTTCACTCACTCACAGACACACACACACTGACAGCTACACTCACTCATTCACAGTCATACACACTCACACTGACATACACACACTCATTCACTGACAGACTCACACATACACACATATATTTTGTCATACACTCACCAATTATTGATATTTTTTGAAATTGAAATCCACCCAGCCTCTCTACCTTTGGGAGAGCTGGAGTGGATCCTTTTCCTGACAGTTGCTGGGCGGGTTCCTTGCTGGCTGGGCTGGCTGGCTCTGCTGGGGCTGCTTGTGCTAAATGGAGGCGGCGAGGGAACCAAGGTCTTCTTGCGCAGCAACCTCAAGCACCGCTTAGTGATGCCGGGGCCGGGTTGACATTATATGCTCTTATATCACAGAAGGGAGCGTGAGAGAGCAACAAGAACGAAGGACAGCGGTCCCTTGCCATCTGGCTAGAATATTAGTATTTCCCCCCATATTGAGGGATTAACCTCCAAGGAGACCACATTAGTGGGACCAGATTCCCAGAGTCCTCCCGAGCCAAGCCAGCACCAGACGCAAATTAATCCATCCACATAGGAATCCCAAGACACACCAGACACTAAAAGGACACTACACCCACTAAACAGCCCCGAACACCTTTCTTTCTAATCACCCCTACCCCTCTCTCCAATGGCTCCCGGGGTGCGCGGGGACAGCCGGGAACTAGATTCGAGACACCACATTAACACACAGAGACCCCACAACCTCGCTCACACTATGGCATATATCGCCACACCCTTTCGCATCACGACACAGAACTGCAGAGGCCTGAACACTGCCGAAAAACGCTCCCACCTCCTACGAGAACTTAAGCGAGAACAGGTCTCTATTGCTATTCTACAAGAAACACATTTTAAACCGACACGCATAGGCTGAAAAACAGGAACTATCCAATTAACTACCATACCACACACCCAACAGCGCGTAAGGCAGGGGTGACGATCCTCCTGAATGCCAACATACAATTCAACCTGACCGAGCAGCTATCTGACCCGAACGGCAAATTTCTCTTCATCAAGGGCACAATCTTACAGAAAACATACACATTCGCCACAGTATATGCACCAAACGCAAAACAGGTGACGTTCCTCCGCGAAACAATCTTACAACTTGCCACCTTCACAGAAGGAACGCTTATCATGGGAGGGGACTTCAATGCCCCCCTGGACCCACTCTCTGATTCCTCGACAGGACACAGCAGCATACCACAAACGGCAATCAGGACAATAAGGAAGTCTCTACGAGACCTGAGATTGGTGGACGCATGGAGGGCCCTGAATCCAAACGACCGAGACTACACACACTACTCAGCTATCCACAGGAGATATTCACATATTGACTACCTTCTCATTCAACAAGAGGGCCTACAAAGACTCCAGAAGGCGGAGATACGCACTACAACATGGTCAGATCATAGCGCAGTGTCCATGCTCCTGGACTCATGTTTAGACCCACACGAACAGTCTGGAGAATGAACGAGTCACTCTTATCTGACCTACAGGTACAGACGCAACTAACGGAACACCTGGACAACTACTTTAATGAGAACAACACAGAGGACGTATTGAAGGTGACGTTGTGGGAAGCCCATAAGACTGTGCTCCGGGGACACTTTATAAGAATAGCGTCTCGGAAAAAGAATGAAGCACAACAACGCCTAAAGGACCTTACCAACCACATAACGCAGCTAGAAACGCTCCATAAACGAACACAACTGGAGGCACAATATCGCTCTCTATTAGAAGCCAGAAGCCAACTGACGGAATTGGTTGCCCGTAGACACCATAGGGCGACCCAGAGAACCAAAGCCTTCTACTAGATTCATGCCAACAAAGGCGGGAGACTACTAGCTCGCATGATCCGGAGCCAACAGGCCAGAGCGCAAGTACATGAACTGAGAACAACCAAAGGCACCCTCACACAATTCCCAGAGGAAATAGCTGAAGAATTTCGCATGTACTACCAATCTATGTACAACATCGCTCCCATGGCACCAGACAACCATCAAGAAGATAGAACAGCGGCCACGACTCGATACCTTCAAGACTTGAGACCGGATGCTCTATCATTGGAGGAGGCGAACGCGATAGAAGCACCGATAACAACCGAAGAAATACAAGCGTGACTAAACAGGCAAAAAATGGGAATGCCCCGGGCCCAGATGGTCTGCTGGCAGGATACTATAAAATATTTGGCGAAATACTAGCCCCATATCTGTCAGGGGCCTTGAACCGACTACAGCAAGGAGATACGTTTCATCAGGAAACCCTAGCAGCAACAATTACAGTGATACCCAAACCTGGTAAAAACCCATAAAATTGCGGAAACTACCGACCCATATACCTCATCAACACTGATGTGAAGCTTTTCTCAAAAATCTTAGCGACTAGATTACAAAAATACATGCCGCGATTGGTGCACCCAGACCAAACAGGATTCATCCCGGGACAAGAGGCCAGGGCCTGCACCCTCCGGGCATTCGCCATCCAAGGACTAGCGCTCAAAGAAAAATTGAACCTCCTAATGCTCTCGACAGTCGCTGAAAAAGCATTCGATCGGGTGACGTGGAGTTTCATGATGGCGACCCTGGACAAGATAGGACTGAGAAAAGACATGCTCGCCTGGACTGAGGCACTCTACTCCGCCCCAAGCACCAGAATACGGATAAACGGAGCGCTCACAGACAGCTTCACTATACACAACAGCACCAGATAAGGCTGCCCGCTGTCGCCACTTCTATTCGCCCTAACACTAGAACCGTTTCTGGCAAGGATACGGCAAACACCGGAAATCCAAGGATTCAAACACAAAAACCAAGAGCACAAGGTGGCTGCGTATGCAGACGACATGCTCTTTTTTCTGGATAACCCACTACACACACTGCCATCCCTGATGGAAGAATTTGAGACATACGGACAGATATCGGGCCTGAAATTAAACCAGTCAAAATACGAAATTCTAAATGTTGCATCACCAATGGACGAAATCCGGCGCAGATACCCCTTCCACTGGTGCACGGAGCAAATGCGCTACATAGGAATCTGGATACCAAGTAACCCAAAAGAACTATACAGTAGGAATTACACTCCCCTCCTACGTACAATCCTGACGGACTTAAAGAAATGGAACTATGACTATATTTCCTGGCAAGGACGCATAGCGGTAGTCAAAATGAACATCCTACCAAGGCTATTATACTACTTCAGCACCATTCCCTGGCACATACCTCCGGACTTCTTCGCGACACTTAAAACAGCAGTAATTAAATATGTCTGGAAAGGAGAGAGAGCACGCCTCTGCTATGACAAGTTATGCCTCCCAAAATTGTGGGCCGGGCTGGCACTGCCAGACCTCCACAAATACTACCATGCAACAGTACTCCAGCGAATCTGGGAATGGCACTCGGCCACAGCAAACAAACTATGGGCGACCCTAGACAGAGAGAGTACGAATAAAGCTTTACACACGTACATATGTCAAGGTTCGGCAGACGCTACACAACACCTGGGTAACGAATCCCCCATTGTACAGACGCTGAAAACATGGACAAACCTGAGGAAGAAACAACACATATCCCCCCAACCGAGCCCCCTAATCCCGCTGACTCACAACAAAGCGCTTGGAGAAGGACTGCAAACGTCCGCATGGCCCATAGCATCTGAAGGAAATTTTATCCCTCTGAAAGTGGCACTGAACAACACAGGACTGCGAAGTCTACGAGAATGGTCAACTACTGATCAGCAGACGATGATGCACAGATACCATTATGCACAATTGAGACACTTCTATCACAACATGCCCAACAGGGAGGCAGTACACAGGGAAACGACGTGGTTCGAACATCACTGCATCACTGACACAGAAGTACAAGGCAAAGTGTCAAACATATACCAGCAACTGATCACAGAAGACCATATTAGGAGGAATGCCTTTCAAAGACAATGGGAGGACCTAACTGAGAGGACCTACACGGAAGCCCAATGGGAACAAATACTCATCCTACAGCACAAAAGCTCAATAAGCACCAGATACCAAGAAGTCAACTTCAAACTGATATCCCATTGGTACAGGACACCTGCATTGTTGCACAGAATATTTCCGGGTGTTCCAGAGATATGTTGGTGATGCGAAAACCAAACGGGCACCCTACTCCATATCTGGTGGGATTGCGCCAAGATCAAAACATTCTGGGAAGAAATAAAAAGGGAAATGACGACAATACTGGGGGATATACCCGACTTCACCATAGAAATGGCGCTTCTACACTACACCGAAAGCTCGATAGGCCAATACAAAAAAATCGATACTACGACACCTGCTCAATGCGGCCAAGGCACTGATCCCAGCGAGATGGAAACAAACCCAACCACCCACCAAAGCAGAATGGCTACAGAGAATAGAAGAGTTCCACACAGCAGAGGTGAGATACGCAGACCTTCTAGGAGACCATGGTACACATACCTTGCTCAAACCAGAACATAGAAAGGAACACAACAGGACCCAAGGTTCGAGGAGGCCCTTGCGCACCCTGGCATCCACACACAACCCCCCCCCCCCCCCCCCCCCCCCCACAAAGACTCACCCCACAAGGGTCTCCACACACCACCCAATAAAAGATGTCTGGGGCAGCCGAAGCCAGGAGGAACCGAGACCTGAGAACCACACTACACAAACATGACACGGACTGTTACAGCAACGCTAACTCTACGCACGATCATACGGAAATCTGAGAAGTCAGAAAAAGCCATATAACCATGGAGGACTAACCTCCAAGACAAAACCCATTAGATAACAAATAGGAAGCAAGTGGCCAGGCAACCGAACAAGGACACACTTAGGCCACAAGACGCGAACAACACTCATGCATGGAATGGTGGGAAACACGGCAAACATTTCACAAGAGCAAGGATGGGAACATGGACCATACGGAAATCTAGACAGACATAGATCATAAACAATGGAAAGAAGGAAAGAAGCAAAGTACACTCACTACCCCTTACAACATGCACTAAAGATTTGAGAACATGAACCACACGAGACACACAATGGAGTTGGGGGACCACCTCAGTACGGAACACAGTCTAAGAAACCACAAACAAAACGAACACAACATACACCGCTAACAATTAATAGGTAGCCTAAAATAATCAGACACATATTAATCAGCATCCGAAAAGGGACTGGCTCAATAAGGACAAATAGATGAGTTGGAAGTAGAAGAACAAAGACGCTGACAACAACTACTCACGAGCACACACACAACCAGATAGCTAATCGAGAGTCACCGACCACACCCAACCCGAACCAGACTGATAATAAACATCCAGGTGACACACTGATACAGTCCACATGCCTGAGTAACCGAACACGGATGACCGAAGGAGTGCAGAATACTTAGGGATTATACAAAGCCTAGTTAGAGTCATTTAACATGAATGCACACAAAAAAGACTGACTTAGCAAAAAGGCAAATATCTGAAACTATTAGAAGCGACAATGTATGGCGCAAACCAACCAGGTTGGACACCACAGTTATCCCCATTACCTCCCTTTCTATCTACCAAGATTATTACAAATACACGAGTACAATCAACTGCGATCCCACATGTATGTTTATTGCAAAAATACTCGTATAAACAAATGCGATTCCACATGTATGTTCAAAATTGTAAACCGAGCTACTGTATGCGCAACTTTCACCCAACCCTCACCATCCTTTTTCTTTTGTACCCTAAACGCAATAAAAATGATCAAATTTAAAAAAATAAAATAAAAATGAATATTAGTAGTTTAACACCTCGGGTGGCCCTAAGGTGGACCGCCCCGAACATGAGTCAAACAAGGCATTTGCCTGGGAGCTTGGGGAAGCGTTTTTTTTTCCCTCCTGAAAGTGCTGCCCTAGGCCAATGCCTTGTTTGCCCTGGCTAAGGGTCTCTGTAGAAATACAGAATGACGTCTTGCACCCCATGCCCCATGTGCTAATTTACATATGAAACTGGGAACTCTGGGATATTTGTAGAAATGTGTTTTATGGAGTTTCTGTGCCCAGTGAGGACTTTTCAAAGTGCAGCTGGAGTTAACCAGGTGACGCACAATAGTAATGTTTCTATTTGCACAGAAAAAAAGGGGTATTTATCGCTAGAATTAAACATTTTTAACAGGAAGGCATGGGAAGAGGGTCTTTGCACCATAACCACTTCAGTAAGATGAAGTGCTCGTAGTGCTAACAGAGATCCTTTTATTTTTAATCCTAATTTTATGTGCTAGATGTTCCATTTACCTTTTGAATATTCTGCTTACAAAATGTTAATGAATTGAAGGTGAATTTCAAAACGTAACCCAACCTTAGTGTAGCGGAGCTCCTGTCCTCGAACTGCTACCAGGGACTGTGCAGCACTTAAGGCTCAGTCTGCAGAAACAATATAGCAAGCGCTCAACTGTAAAGGGTTCATTTGTGAATCATGCAGTAATAAAGGTGATAAAATAACTGTATCCCTGACAGATAGAAAGAATAGTCCCATAACTCACCACAAGAAGATCTTTATTCATATAATGCATATCGCCCTATGAGGAAGACTAGTGTTGAAACGTTGGGGTGCTGTGGCCTCCAGCTCGGTCAGTCTGGGTAAAGACAATGAACACTTTATTTGCCTATATTGATGTGGTTATGATTTCCTTGCATGTCTGCACTTTACTAAATTTAAACTTTCTTCCGATATGCATTATGTGAATAGAAATCTTCTTGTGCAATACTTTCGTGTTGTGCAATGGGTTTATTCTTTCTCCAGTCTCCAAAGCTTGACTGGGGTCAATGCGGACTTCTTATACCAGACCCGTCTACAGATCTCTCCTTTCAGGCAGGTATTTCCCCCTTTGCCTCTTCTGTTTCTCTCCCAAGCAGGTATCGACACCCCTGCCTACACTGTCTCCAGCTACTGCCTTTATAAAGACACTTATGGCTTTCAGGCCTTGCTCTTTTCTTAAAGGAACACTATAGTCACCTTAACAACTTTAGCTTAAAGGACCACTATAGGCACCCAGACCACTTCAGCTCAATGAAGTGGTCTGGGTGCCAGGTCCATCTAGTGTTAACCCTGGAACTGTAAACATAGCAGTATGTTTCAC